ACAGGGACAGGGGTGAAGGTAGGCGATGTCGCGGGGGAGGGGGACAACGACGAGGCATTGGTGAACAGGCTGCGCCAGCGGAATACGCGGGAAGGAATGGAGGCGGCGGCGAAGCTGTGGGTGGATGACCTCCGCTTCTGGAACGAGAGGGAGGGATTTGCCATCGTCAAGTTGATCGCGGAGGCGCGTGGTTATCTTGTGGCTGTGGCGCGGGGAGAGCAGCCTCCGCCCATTCGTCGCAGCATCGTCTTGCCTCACAACAGCATCCCACAACAGAAGATCGCGGAGGAGTCGGAGTTAAACGCTGCGAAGGAGAGGGCGCTAAAGGTTCAGGGGATCGCTTTGCGAGTGATACACGGGTGGGTCTTCAAGTCTCAGAACAGGCAAAGGGGGTACCACGCGGCCTACCAGTACGCACTCAACCACGCGGCCAACGACATCGCTCGCGCGATGTGGATGGGGGAGGACTGGCGTTATTGTGTGAGTCCGATGGTCGTCCACCACACGCTCGACATGGATATGAAGCTGCCTTTGTGGTTCGTGGGCGCCGACATCGAAGACAGGCACGAGGACGACGGCTTGGCGGCTTATCAGGAGGCGAGCATCCAGCGACTGGTGGGGGCTTTCACGAGCGCCGTGATCATTGCGGAGGCGACGGACGGCGGCCGTATATCGCACGAAAGGTTGAAGACCATGGCCGACGTGATGCGGATGATGCTCGCGACGACCATGTGGCTCATGCGGATGGCGGGTGACGATCATCGCGCGCATTACGACGCCTGGGTCTTCGTCCAACTCACGGCGAAGCCGACGCTCGTCGCATCCATGCATCGCTGCTTCGACGCGCGTCGGCACATCGTGCAAGCTTCGACCGTAATCACTGACAAGTTGGCGAGTCCCCCCATCACTTTCATCGACCCTCCAATGTATGTTCCCGACTGGGTGTCCATCGGTGTGAAGTTCTCACACGACGCCACGCTGTCTTCCCCGATGGAGGCGAAGAAGGTGGATTGGCTGGGCACAGGCCCCCCGGAAGACGAAGACGGCGGGAAAGGCGACGAACAGGGAAGCGGGGGGGGTCGATGACGCCTTTAAGTCGTCTATGTAGTTTTTCCTCACGTGATGCTGCTCTGCCGTGGCTTGTTTTTCGACAGCAGACCAACCATCATCCCCTTTCTGTACATACATCGTGGCTGGCAGTCCGATTTCGTTGCCTAGGAGCTTTCGGTGGCGAAGATGGTAAAGAAGGGAAAGACGGTAGAAGGGAGGGGAGGGGGAGGGATTGGGGGGGGGTTGGGGGATTTGATGTCGTTGATTGGTAGACGACGTGTCTTCATGGTTGATCGCCGTGGCGGACAGGTCACGGTGGGGGTGTGTAATTATCGTATGTTTTTGTCATGGTTTACCTTTTTTTTTTTTTCTGTTATCTGTTTCGGGTCTTAAGAAATCGATGTTCGCGTCTGTAACAACCAACATGTGACACCTGTCATTGGTATTGATGACGGCCCTACTTCAGGAGGTTGTCGCTTCTTGTGTTCGTTGCTTTTCATGATGTCTGGACGATGTTGTCGTTTCTTGTGTCTCTCGTTATTGATGATGTCTACAGCTTCATGTCGACTCCTTTGCGTTCCCTTTTCATTTGCGTTCACGATTGTCAGGGCTGCACCGACATGGAAAGTGGTGACGGATGTATGATTCAACAAATGCTTTATCACAGATTGATGGATTTTCACACAACCCATTCCAAATGCGAGCACGGATGAAGGCAATAAAAATGACACACACACAGCATCTCTCTCTTTAACAAAATACTTGTCATTCGTCACGAACACGGAGAACAACCTCCACGACATCAAAAAAAAGATTACAAGATATGTTATCTTCATGCTGTCACTCCTGGCAATAGCACAACACGTCACAGTTACGATGTAACAGGCCTTGAAGCCAACTTCGATCACGACCAGCCTCAAAAAAAAAAAAAAAAAACACCGGGAAATGGCCTCCGTCACTCACACCCGTCACTGACGGTGGCACCACACTGCAAATCGTCGCAGAGACCTACAACCACACGCGCATCACGAAACCCCCGCCGCCGACAAGATGGACTGTGCCATCGCCATGAACCCCACCCGGCGAAAACCTCCTTAGTGCGGCGCAATGCGAAAGGACAGGAAACTAAAGTGCGCCAGACAAGCCGCCGCATGCACGCCAACGCCCACCGACACAGGTAGCGGTCGATTAACACTCTCTCTCTCTCTCTCTCTCTCTCTCTCTCTCTCTCTCTGCATGCCGCCCGCCCCCGACGACTGCTCGTCTTCACTGCGTACCCATTCGCTCCGCCAGTGCATCCCGCAGGATCAGCGCATCCCTCATTGACGACTCCATACACATCTGCCTCAACGGGCGGTGCATCCCAAGGTCCACCCTGCGACGAACACCGTCCGGCCCGACCTCCCTTAGCAGATTGTCGTCGAACGGGATGCCCGCGTCGATGAGTATGTTGTGCAGAATGCAGACGGCGACGAATTGCTGCGGCAACGTCTCCATGTTCGTCTTGTGGGAGCGAAGGAACAACCTCCACATCCCCTTCAATCTGCCGAAATCCCTCTCGACTGCTCCCCTCGCCGTCTTCTGCTTGTTGTCAGACCGAATCTCCGACCGGTGCTGTGATACACCACCGTAGGGGACGACTACCCATTCCGAGGGGGGGTAACCGTTGTCGCCCAGTAGGTAGCCGTTCGTTCGCACACCGAAAGGCAGCATGACAGGTGGCCCAGTGAAAAGCTCCCCTGCCTCCGCACGCGCCCACAAACTGGACAGGTGGACGATCCTCACGTTGTGGCAGCTCCCCGGGTATCCGATGAACACATCCAACACGCGTAAGTTCAGATCGACGACCACCTGAGCCTGGACGGAGAAACGACGTTTTTTGTCGTAGTAGTCCTCTCCGGGGCAATTGGCTGGCTTGTCGATGAAGATGTGGGTACAATCGATGCAGCCATGGCAGTTGGGGAAACCCTTGTCAGCGAAAGTGCGCAAGACGACCGCCTTTTGCAGCCCCGTTGGCCACGATATTTTGTCGCGGTACGCACTCAGCAACGCCGAAGTAACATCCCGCACAGCCACCAACCCAGACTTTCTGCCAATGCCGAAGCTGCACATCCCGCTCTCGTACGTCTCCCCCGACACCCATCTGTACAAAGCGAACGCTACGATGAGGTCAGGCTGGAGGGGCTCCCTATAAAACGTGACATGCCGTTGAAGGAAGGGAGACAAAGTTTCCGCTATCTCTCGGAACACCCGTGGCGACATGCGCAGCTTGTCCTTGAAGTAGTCTTCCGTTGCGTCGTCGCATTGCCGCAGATCTTCCCACACCCCCCCTGTTCGACGCTTCATCCACCACCTCGGCGTCGCTCTGGGAAACGCTCCACACCCCATGGCATAGCACACCTAAAGGACAGCGTCGCAAATGGCACCACTGCCCTCTTCGTCCACATGAATGGACTGCAGCGTCTTCTTCAGGCGTGCGCGAATGGCTGCTCTCATCCTCCCCTCCGTCCTCTGCAATTGACACCTGATGAGTATCATGTTCACGGCTGCTGCCGCAGCCGCCCTCTCCGCCTTGCTGAGTGTGTCATGAACCGCGTCCCCGTCCACGTCCATCGCTCGTCCTCGCCAAGTGAAGAAGGCTCGACTTCGGTGGGAACAACAGCGATGGCGCGTCGTGAAAACCCGACTGTACGGCGTGCACGTCGACGACGAAGGTGCGCGTAGCGAAGCACACAAAGTTGGCGATCGTGTGACGGCGGGCGTGCTGCTTCGGACGTATTCATGGACGTTTGGCGTGCCAGCAGACGCTACGAAGCCGGCACCCCGTACCGAAACAGTCTCGCCGACGAACGTTGCTGGCGTCAGCCGTAAGGGACACACGCGCCGCCGTCATTCGCTTACTGGGATTCGAATTTCGAAATTCGAATCCGGGCCTGCGTGCCATTTTCGTAGCCTTTCTTTTTTTTCACCACGTAAATTCGAATTTGCGCCGCCCACAGCTCCTGGACCAAGGGCGATGCCACGGACACAACCCGCTGGACCAACCTCGCCAACCCCTCCGCGTCCGCGTGTCGAAATATGCAACTAGCCGCTGGAGCACCCGAGGAATCGTCCTCGGGGAACATTTCCGAGGATGAGTGGAACGAAGGCGGGAATTTCCTCGGGCGACTCCAAGGAATCGTCCTCGGGCCCCGAGGATGCCCCGAGGAGTGTGGAATGAGCCCCCATGCCATAAAGGTTGCTTCTTGTAAGGGACACACGACCCGGTTTGGAAGTACATTTATGTCACAGGGGAGTTTGTAATGGGCGAAAATAATACGAGTCGGCATCTTTCTTTGTCATGACCTCAGTTTGAAAACGCGGTTGTGGTGTCAGGGTGGCGGTTTCATTAAGGCGGTTGTGGCATGTTTGGTACTGGTCCGTTCCCGGGTACCGGCCTGTCCCACTTTTTTTTTTTCGCGTCTTTTTAGGGTTTAGAGATGGAGGAAGAGAGATGGGGGAGATGATGATGTGTGTGTGTGTGTGTGTGTGTGTGTGTGTGTGTGTGTGTGTGTGTGAGAGAGAGAGAGAGAGAGAGAGAGAGAGAGAGAGAGAGAGAGAGAGAGAGAGAGAGAGAGAGAGAG